ATAACTCCCAAAAATTGCTGGAAACAATAAATAAGTACAGTAATGTGGCAGGCCATAAAATTAATGCACAAAAATCTGGTGTATTTATTTATGTAAATAAGCAAGAAGAAAAAGAAATTAACAATTCCATTTACAAACAAATAAAAAAAATTAAATGCCTAAAAATAAATTTAACAAAGGAGGTGAAAGATCTATACAAAGAAAACCATAATAAACAATATTGAAAGAAAAGAAGGAAAATATAGAGAAAATATTTTCCAATTGTTAACTGTAATACAAATCAACAGTTAGGTTTGGAATAAAAGTAAACACATAGATCAGTGGAGCAGAATTGAGAGCCCTAGGTGACAAGAGAAATAGACAGGTTATTACTATATGATGATCAAAGGGGCAATACACCAGGAATATATTACACTCATCAATGGAAACTCAACAAATGAGGGAGCACCAAAATATATTAGACAACTACAGTCATCTCTGAAAACAGTCACTGGAAAAAATATATATGTGGTAGATATACTTCAACACCCCACTCTCACCGATGGAGAGATCAATGAGGCATACAATAAACAAGGACACGATAGCACTAAACTAAGATCGAGGCTGCATGGGCCTAACAAACATTTTCAGGATGCTGCAACCCAAAATCTAAATATACATTTTTCTTAACTGCACATGGATCATTCTCCAGGATTGACCCCATACTGGGTCATAAGATAAACCTCAACATGTACATGAAGATGGAAATCACACCAAGTATCTTCTCAAACAGGAAAAGAAAGAACGAAATCACCTAACTTCCCATCTCAAGGAACTAGAAAAAGAAGGGGAAAAAAATAATCACTAAGGTAGTATAAATGAAATAGGAACAGAAGAGAAAAAAATCAATACAATTAGAAGGTGATTCTTTGAAAAAAAGAGCAAAATAGACAAACCTCTAGCTAGGCTCACAAAGAAAAAGATGGAGAAAACTTAAAAAGGGGGAAAGTATCATAAAGGAAAGAGGAGAAATTACAAGATGCTACAGAAATTCAATCAGAGATTACTATGAATATCTATATGCAAACAAGCTCAACAATATAAATGAAATGAGCAAGTTCTTAGAATTATACTATCACCCAAGACTGAATAAGGAAAAAATAGAAAACTTGAAAACTAGAAATATGAAAACCAATTACAACAATGAAACTGAAACAATATTTAAAACCCTCCCAAACAAAAGTCCAGGACCAGTGAGTTCTACGAAAGAACTGAGATGAATTAATGCCTGTCCTGCAGAAAACTCTTTCAAAAATTTGAAAATAAGGAGTACTACCAAATACATTTTATGGAGCCTTTATCACACTAGTACTAAAACTAAACAAAGACAACACACACACACACACAAAAGAATACTACAGACCAATCTCGAGACCTAATGAATACGGATGCTAATATCTTCAATAAACTCTTAGCAAAGCAAATCCACAATGTATCAAAAGAATAATACACCGTGAACAAGTGAAATTTATTCCAGGGACACAAGTGTGATTCAACATCTGAAAATAAATTAATGTAATCCAACATATCAACAAAAGAAGATGAAAATGATGTGTTATATCCATGGACACTGTGAAAGCATTTGGTGTAGTTCAACATCCATTTATGATGAAGACCCTTGAAAAACTTGGGATAAAAGAAAATCTTAGCATAATTAAAGTCATCTATGACAAATCCACAACCAACATCATTTTTTTAAAAGATTTATTTATTTATGCATACAAGAAATGGGGTACAGGCAAAAGGTGTGGGGGCTGAGAGGACTCACCAGAGACAGAGTGGGGAACAGAACAGACAGATTGACTGAAATACACTGCTGAGGGGAGCAGCAGATGGGTCAGGAGAGGTCTGCTGTGCCATGTGGGTCAGCTCCCTGGCTGGGAATCAAACTGGTGCTGCAGTGGCTGTGGAGAGCTTCATAGTGCTGCACTTTAACACACTGCACCACCAGGGACCACGAGGGAGGGCCCCCAACATCATTCTTAGTGGTGAAAAACTGAAAGCTTTTCCACAAAGATCTGGAACAAGACAAAGATGTCCACTCTCACTAATGCTTTTTTTTTTTTTAAGATTTATTTATTTATTTATTCATACAGAACTGGGGTACAGGCCAGAGATGC